ATTGTTCCAAACGGACACCTTGACGCGCATAAACGATGCCTAATGGCTAATGGATCCCTTGTGATCTTTCAGGTTAGCCGTGCGAGCGCGCGTGTCCTTCCCAAATCTCTTTCTCCCGAGTGGCAATCTCGTCGCGGTCAGGATCAATTAGCGCGACCGTATCGGAGATTCATCGTTCGATCGTTTCTCTAAGCTGTGTCTCTCTGTTTCTCTAAAAAGCGAACGGACACGAATCCCTTGACGAAGGTATCGACGCACGATGACGCGTTTACCCGCACGAATCACGATCGACGAGCGAGGATCAATGCGACGCGACGCGTCCAATCGTAGTTCAAGGCAGGGTCAGACGGAGATCGCGCGGCGATGGATCGGTAATGAAGCGAAATGGATTCGATTCGACAAAGGTGTGGAAACACGTGCGTGGTGCTTGTATAGGTGTGTCGGCTTGATACGTCGACGGGGAATTCGGCAAACGCCGGTGAATAATGATGATCGATGAGCGTTAAGCATTTTACAAGGTGCGACCAAAGATCACGGTTAACCGCGTGAATCGTGCCGAACCATTCTCCAGATTGGATGGGAAGTTATTAAAATATGATAATTCGAACGGACGCAAGGACGTTCGTATAAAATCGCGTTTAGAATGCTCGTTCTTGACAAACCAATGAATATTTTAAATACCAATACCAGAAATTGACGATTAAAACAAGTGGTGGGTGGTTAATCACCTCCTACCATGTAAGTGTCTCCGTGATTCCCGATCGACGCGTAAGAGGAAAGGATCGTCGAATTCGGTGAGATCGTAATGACGTCGGTGGTAGCCGTCTAGGAGGCCGCTATCGCGAGATCGATCGTCGAAATCCGTGTAATAAATCGCTGCAATAGCGACGGATTAATTTATCATCGGTCCGCGCCTCCGGGTGATTTATTTCCAGCGGTAACGTCATCGATACCGATGCATTAATAATACTGCAACTTTCTTGATTCGCGAGCCGATCCCGCTACGCGAAGGGCTCTCGATGGGGTGGGAGGAAATAATCGAACCGGTTCGGAGTATTAAAGTCAAGGACCATTAAGTGATTATAGGATCTTTCGTCGTTGAATTATCGACGTTGATGCTCCATGTTTCCCAGCGCGCGAGTTTAACTTTCGGATTCCGCATTCGCCCTGGGACTTTCCACGGAATTACCATTTCCGGATCGTTGCACCTGCCTTCCCGAATGACTGCGGATTCATTCGGTTGGCCCGACCACCGATCGACCCCTCGACGAACAACCAAAAGTACTGGAAACGTCCTAATGTGTGCCCAGGATTTTACCTGTCCCAAAAGGATCCCTTTTTCCGAGAGCACTCGAAAATTCATTATTAGGAACCGTTCGTTTGGAAACTTTTCACCGAGGCTTGTGTTGAATGCTGGCTCAACTGAGTATTAGTAAATTCCCTGCAACCGTGCTTCGTTCCTAAACTACGTCCATTTTTATAAAATATTTTCTCCTTTAAGCTGATCAAAAATATTTTATTTTCTATACGGTTTCAATTCAATTTTCGTATACAATTTCAATTTTAAAAAACACATAGGTATACAAGCAAAGAAAAATACTAATAGGAATATAGACGAAGGGAATGAGTAATGACAAACAACTCGATCGCAAACTCTGTTCAAAGTTCTTCGAGCATGAGTGCCGAATCAGAGCAAACAGCACCGAACGTTTCCTGATTTTCCCTAAACGCTACGAATGTTCCTCCTAAATCGACACACCTGCCTTCCGGAATGCCTGCGGTTTCAGCGAATCGAGCAGCCGTTAGGTCAATCGTCGAAGGACGAGAACGACCCTTGAAACGAGCAACCTTCGTTTGTGTGCATAGGATTTGGCTTTTCCGACCGCCTTCTTTCCCCGAACGTTCGCGAGAACCACAAGAATAACGATCAATATTTACGAAGCACTCTCGTCTCCATGACTCGTGGTATTTATACAACCTACCAATCGAAGTGCCACTTCACCTCTTTATCCGGCTTGCATCCAATTGATATCTTTATCGCGTTCGAATTCTCTTCTCTTTACACGCGATCGAGGAGAAGCAAAAAGGAAGAAGGAGGAAAATACCCGAAGCTAAGATGTGTAACAAACGGATGGTAGGTCAACGATCAGAGCCTCGAGCGGATTCGTTTGAGGACGATTTAAGGATCTCGTGGCAAGGAGCGTGACTGGACTTTATTAAAGCCACGAGCAACCCCAAAGCTAGCCTGTCCCTTCTTCTCTTATTTATGTGCCGAGCTTTCTCCAGGATATTAACATGCTGTTAAGAGGATATATTGGGAAATTAAGAGGAAAATGATCGTAAATGAGACTCTTAGGAGAATCACAACAATCGGAGTTGAAGTTTCTTTAGGAAATCAATGTAGAATCAGTTGTTCTTCAATTCGATGTAACTTTTTATTCAACGATGTTGTTTAAGTACAAACAGAAGCGAACAGAAACACGGTGGTTTATCGAGCCACTGGAAAGTCCGCAAACAGACACGATTGTTTAATCAGGCATGACGAGAGAAAAAAAGCAAGCAGCGAACATAATCGATTCGCTGTATTCCTTAGCGGTTCTTCCACTCTCCTCGCGATCCTCCACATGGTTCCGCTACGAAACCCGAAGAAATCGGGCATTAACTCTTTATGTTTGACCAATCGGACACTTGGTTGCGCTTTTAAATTCTACTCCTTTCGAATACGGTTTATTTCATTATACAATAGCCCCTCGCTAATTCCCTGCCGTGTAATTCACACGCGTGTCATTGACTCTCGATTATTTCTCAGTACATCGTAAGACTCGCCTCTAGAGCTTCGAAAGCAGGGAATTACCGGGGCTGTACAGGATATATGTGACCCAAGTGAAATCCACGATATCGGGCGTGTTCCTCGCCCTGTATTCCTCGACTTTCTAGCGGGAGGATGCAACGTACCGGCACCGTGGCCCGATAGAATTTGAAGCATTACATTAGTCGGACTAATGACCGACATGACTGTCCGTGGGTAGATACCGGTTCTCCGAGAGCCAAGGAGCATGCCCTCGAGAAAATGGTTGCAGACGGGAGAGCAATACGGAAGATGATAGCCCCGTTCGCAAAGAGGGCGCCACGTACTTGGCCGCATTCGCTGGCAATATATGCATGCATGCACTCTGCTCGCGTGCAACCTTATCGCTCTTCCTTCTACCTAACGTACACACGCGTTCTCTTGCATCCATATTTTCTATCGCGGTGAAAAATTTCGAGATTCACACTCGGAACACCTTGCGAGAACTAATCAAGCGGAACGCATTACGGAAAGAGAGACGGTGAAACGGGTAGAGAGACATCGTTGGCAGATTAATTTGCATTTTTTCGATACGTCATCTCCGAAATTGCCTCGGCCTAATTGACTCACGTGCATCGACGAATCGATCGACACCGACAAAGGAGCGTTCCTTCGTTCGAAGCGGGTAACGAAGATCCTTTTCATCGCGGGCCACGTATTTAGAGAGACGAATCGAAACGTCGCGTTCGACGAGGAACGAGCGAAAGCTTTCGTTCGAATTGAAACCGGAAACGAATTGAAAAGAAAGCACTCCGACTGTGTTAAAAGTAATCGTACAGCCGGGAAAAGAAAAGGACGAGGAACGCTAATTCATAGCTCGCGAAGGACTCGAGGCGAATCGTGATCCGGACGCGCCTTCTGCAGCGGTTCGTGGTGCTCGCACGCCGATCTGCTGAACCGTATGGAAATTTTCAGTGACGGTAATGAGGCTTAAGGGACGGTTGTGTAATCAGTGCAGCTCCAACTCGATGGAAACAATGTTCAACCGGCCGTCTCGTTCGCGCCCTGAAAATTAAATTCCACGCGAGTTTCGTAATTTCGAGCGGAGCCACGCCGCACCGTTTATCACTGCTGCTTGCTTTTCTTAATGAGCGTCAAACTGTCTTCTCTGAAATTGGGTAAATTCGTTAAACGTCCGCCTATCTTCTTGATTAACGTCAACCGCCACATTTCTCGATCGAAAGTCAATTAGGTGGCTCGTTTGGAGGCGATCATTTTTGCGAAAATTATGACTTGCGAATTTCTATCGATTTCCAAGCAAACGCCGCTTTATCGATCCGATCAGAAAAACGATATAAAAGTTTAGCTAATTCTTTGAAAACGTTCGATGGAAGCGTGAGATCCATAGTGTAATGTAAAATTGATCGAACGGCTGACACGATAGGGCAGGGATTCGAGCAAGAAATTACGCGTCTTAGCTGCGACGCGTAATTACCCGAATTCGTTTAATGGCGTTCGATCGGGTCGAAAAACTGGACCGTTCGGGCAAACACGACACGCGATGAATAAAGCCCACATCGCGGAATGTAATTCCCTCGCGAAAATTGCTTTTAAAAAAATCCAATTCCCCGCACCTCGTGATTTCGCTTACGATGAAACTCGAGCGAAATTCACGCTTCGACCAAATGCTCTCACGTTCACGGTCCGCGGGGGCAAACTACGATCGAATAATCACTTTGCCGGAAATCTGCATCTTCCAGTGTATCACGAACTCCGTAATATGTATATACCGCAGACATCTAAACGAAAACGACGTTCGGTATCGGAGCCAGGCTCGTCAACCTTTCTTCTCCTACGTCGTCGAACAACGAAGATTAAACGAAAAGGCGACGAATCCACCGTGCGAGAAACGAGGATCTCGCATCGCGTTCCAGCACTTGTGTCGTATCCGCACTCTCGAGCTTCGAGCCTCGGTTCGAACGGAACGAGCGACGGAAAGGCGCGACGGCTAGGGAGAGCCACTCGGAAACTCGCGTCTCGCGAGCAGGCGGCGTAATACCGCGTAGCCGACGAGTCAGCCAAGACACGTCGACGAGCCCACGGAGGGAACGAGCATCCTCGGGCTTCGTCCGTTTCCGCCGGTGTTCGGCACTCCCCGACACCCCCGGTCGCCGTTCGAGTCTGCCGACGCGAGACGAACGGCCGCGACACTCGGCTCGGCCGACAGACGCGTCCGCGACACCGAGTAGGAAGGTAGTGTTCTCTGCGTTCACGGAGCTCGTCTCGACGTAGCTCGTGCACTCGACGATCATCCTCGTCGTAGTTTCTTAACACGGATAACGCGGCATCGACACGCGACCGGAAGAAGGAACGATAGTTTTTCCTCTTGTTATACCGATTCGAACCTTCACCGTGGAGATTCTTACGCGTGGTGGACAGTGAGAAAGCGTCGCTCCGTTTGGCTGGCTAAGCGACCCGTGCGAATCGCAAGTGCGTGAGAAAGTACGGGGGTGTGCTCCAGGCGAGAAGGATACCGCTCTGTTTCGCTAGCTTTCTTGTGCCTCGTCCCGTGAGATTCCTCGCTGTGATCCCGAACGATCTTAGTATCTCCTTACAAGTTCCTCCTAGAACGTCAATATCGCGTACGAGGACTGGTGCTCCGAAATTCAGTGTCTCCGAGAAATTTTGTTTATATTTTGTTTCGGTGGTGAGAAACGTTTCATAGAATTTGGTGATAAACAAAGTTCTTTCGACATCGTATCGTTTTCAATGATGGTTAGCAAGTTCACGGTTGTTCGATGGTTCGCGTGATCCCGTCGCCGAGCGTCGGATACTGTTCTCGCTGCGAAACGCCATCCACCGTTGATCGGTGAATTCGTCGTGAAAAAAAAATCGTGTCCCCGATGCGAACCTCTCGGAAAGTATCTCTCGTCGATGGTTTCTCGTCGCTGTGATCGGATCGCTGAAAAATATTTCACCAATGAGAGGGCTAGCAAGGTGCACTCCAGGTGAGCGAAACACGGGGTGGACCCATGGAACGCGTAGCTCGATGGACGTGTATGGAAACAGCAGAACACCGGAGAATCATCGTCGATTCTAACCGATCGCCGATCAATTCCATCGAAGACAACGTATCTTCCGTTTAATCGTTCAGCTCGAAGACGCGAGCCGATAGTGTACGGAAAGTGTGTTTACTTGGTGTACGGGAAACTTGAAGGATAACATTCGAGCGAAGAAAGAAAATAGGATACGCGAGTCATACGTTTGATCATCCGAGAGAGAAATATAGCAAAAGAGAAAATAGGAATTAGAACAAGCGATCTAAACACGGAGAAAGTGAAGTGTGGATGTGGTGTGTGTGCAACGGTGGTGGAAGGTGGTTGTGGACGACAGCAACAAAGGTGCAGGTGTCGTCGTCGTTGTTGTTCTTGTTGTTGTTGCTTGTTGTATCTCGGTGAACGGTGGTGACGCGGTGCGCGCTGCTCGTTCGTCCACGTATTTACCATGGTTTCCACGTCCTTTGTAACTCTGATGTTCCTCGTCTGCTTGCAAACGGTTCTACTCTCGACTGTGAGCAATTGCGCGAAGACGATCAACATGTATTGGAACACCACCAATTCCATGTAAGTGTACTTCCTTTTATTTCTTCGGTGAACAGAAAAAAAAATAAAAAAAGAACAAAAAATGATATTTCCCACGTGGTCATTGAAGAATGCCAACAGATTTTCGTGCGCGAACGCGTTACGAGTTGGCTCCGATGCCAAAGCGTTTGAAAGTCGTCGCCGGGCAATCGATTTCCCGCGGCGTCGTCGCTTTTGAGTAACGGCCCTCCGCTTGCCTCGCTTCCGGCGGAGCTTTTATCGGCGTCGGGGCCGTGGTATCGCGTCTGCCAAAATTACAGGGTGCATCGCGACGTCGAGCTCGCTTTAATGCGCCCACGGAATGGGCCGAGCCCGGTGGAGATCGTTCCGTCGAGCTTCTTCCTCGTCCAAATCGTCGACGATAAAAGCCGAAGAAACGACGATTTCCAGCGGCCAAGCAGACGGGAAATTGCATCCTACCGATCAATTTCTTCTCGCCGGGGATTGTTCGTGTTTGCCTAACTGCTTCTACGATACGTCGTACCGTGTCAACTTCTTTTTACCTCGCGCACGACGCTTCTACTTTAATCCGTTTCTTTATGACATTTTTAATGGCTACTTGAGTGTCGCGACAGCTACAGAATAGCGAGATATACTACGTTTGTTCTTTAATGGAGTTACAAGTGATAGAGGAAATAGGATTGTAAGAAAAGTTAATATTAAATCGTTAAGCGGAAAGTTGTTCCTGAAGAAAGTGAGAAAAATAAAAATTGCAGTGAACCGATTTACGTTACTCGTCGCCGTAATTTCACGCGGAATGTGTAAATCTGATCGCGTAACGAGCCTCGTTACTCTATCTGGTGAAAAAATCTATAAGCGTTCTCGCGGTTGCTTCCTGCTCGGGAAGGCGGGCAAAATCCAGTGTGCCGCTCGTCAAACCGAACCGGCAGACCCGATTCACCACGCTGCCAATTAAATCTACATTACCTGTGGTTAATCTAATTTGTCACGGTATTTTTCTGCTGTTTTTCGAGCCTCTTGATTCACGTGCGAATCAACGGTAAGAAATGATCGTGTATCAACGACACACGAAAATCCCGTGTAAAGTCGATTTAGATTTTACGTTAAGAAAAAAAAACTGTCAAGAATCGGTTCGTTCTCGGGTTGTTCAGGTGTGTCCTTTCTTCTTGCCGCGAGAGGAAACGGTGTCATACGCGGCTTGTTAGCCGAGCAATTTCTTTTCCATCAGTAATTTCCTTACTTCGCGATACTTTGATTCGCGTGGACCAAAATAAGCTTGCGATTCGCGTTAACATTATAATCGACGCGGCACGTTTTTTCAACGACCGTGAAAAACCTGCTTGACGCGTAATTTTCTCGGTCGTTTGGAATATTTTGCCGGTCGTTTTGCAGGTTCGACATGCTAGAGGTGCATCCAACGAGCTCGTAAAACATCTGCCCGGCGATCTTAAAACTCGAGTAAAATTTGACACGAACATGATTACGAACGTAAAAAGATCTATGAAACACACGGGTGGATTAAATTGTAGCAGAAACGCGGAGGAAAATTTGAAAAATCCTGCCGAAAATTTTTGACAGTACGTCAGGGAAAAGTCTCGTAACTTTTTAACCGCGCACTGTCCGAAATGTTTGTACGCCTATTCAGGTTTTCCCCCTGGTGCAAAAGTATGCGTGTGCATCGTCCAACAAAATCCGGCCACCCTATTCTTCTCTCTCGTATAAGGGCCCAACGTCCGGCTGACTTTGACGATCGGTTTGAAGTCGCGCATGCATTACTTGCAGCCAGGACGAGGTGGCCCGTCGAGCGTGTGCGTGCCCGTACGTGTGAGAATTCATTTCGCGAAGGAGAAGGACGTTGTCAGACTGTCTTCTTCGTGGGACGTACGGAGGGCAGTAAAAAACACGTCCTACGCCCGGAAAAAAAATCGAAAAGGAAGTAACGCGTGTGGTGAGCAAAACGAGAGAGAGAGAGAGAGAGAGAGAAAGAAGAAGAAGAAAGAAAAGGGAGGAAAAAAGAGGGTGAAAAGAAGCGCAGGAAAGAGGAGTTCTCTGGTGCGCGAGAGAACGTGCTCTCGGAGGGCTGTAAATCTTGACCGCTTATTGGAAAATCGAAATTCGCTTTAAGGAATCGGACGTAAAAAAGAAAAAAGAAAACAAAGTTGAAAGAAGGAGAAAAAGAGTTGTCGGTGAAGCATGAAAACCAGTGGCTCCTTGATTATCATAAATCTGTTTCCACGAGTTTTACCGGTGGAAAGAGTATATTCTCTACTGTTCGGTTAAAACACGGCAGCACTGACGTTTACTACCTCCTTGTGTTTTAGATGGTAGAATTTCTCTTTAGAATCGTGAAGAAACGTATTAAGAATGATTGCAACTCCTTGAACGCGTTAAAGTAATTTTTTAGTACACAAAATATTTCCAACACATTTTTTTGAATTTTACCTAATAAAAGGATAATTCTTTATCGTCTATTGATTACTAATTTCATAAAAATAGTTGATATAATGGATAACGTAAAGGTTTTTCGCGAAATAACGGCGACAGAGTTGGTGTGGTGGCAGCAGATGCTGGTGCGCCGCTGGAGACTTCAATGCCGGGGCGAGGAGATCTGCCGCGGCAGATTATTGAACTCTCTAGTCTCTCTCGTGCGCGGCTAGACGATTCTATCGAGTTCAGGAAGGCATGGAACGTACCCGTTCAATAAGTATTTCTGGTTATCGTACGCTTACGGTTTCGTATTCTACATACTTGCTCTCGAACGCACGCGTAACACGTCCTGTCGCATTTTTGACCGACCAGATAGTTCATTCTCGCGCCACACCAGCGTGTTGACAAAGTATTAAATTGTACCTAATATTTCAAGATAACAGCGTCGGTATCGCCGATATCTCACAGATGATTACTCGCGTTCGTATCGGAATATTTATAAAACGAGTTTCCATTTAAAAAAAATGTATTTTGCCAAAAAGAAAAATGTTTCGTAATTACAATCACCTGTCAACTGCAAAAGTGCCACATTACTATCCAAAACGACGTATTGATTATTTTTAAAGGACACTTTCGTGAGGTTACTTTTGTTCGTTCGTTATTTTTAGCCGACGCGAAAAATGATTTCAACGAACAATCCGGGAACAGTCGTCGAAAAAGCGAGGCCAATAAGAACTGGTTGACTCTTTAAGAGTCGGTCTTCCGAGAAGTTGGGAAAGCAGCGTCGCGAAATCCTCCACTCTGTTGCTTTAACGCGAGTCCAATTATTCCGTCCAGTAAGTCACGTACACTGGCATGCACGAGTAAACTTAATGAATGGCCAGTTGTCAGAGTGCTGTGACTTGTGACACCATCCGCAAGAATTCTTAATACCAATAGGCTCAGTGTTCGTCCTATCATTTGAAATCGTCTTGATTCTTGCATGTCAATTTTCTACCCTTTAAACGTTCATGATTTTAAGTAGAATACATTTCTCATAATTTTTGCACTCAGGTATTATTATATCAGGTGTAAAAATGAATTCTTGAATATGCTAATTACTGTTCACCATTAATTTGTAAAATTACAGTGCAGCTAATAATTGAAGGTATACTTTGATAAGATTATTCCCCTTTGCACGTTATTATTAATTTATTAATTGCGCGAAAATGATGGACTTAGCGAGTCGAGCGTTAAGAACAGGGTGGAATGAAATTAGAGTGCTGGTTGGCAGGTTACGTCGAAAATCTTCATTTCACTCGGTGTAGATATCGTAAAACCGTTACACTTTAACACGGCCTCGGTACCGTTATTAAATTGCCGGCGTACACGCGGCCGGGAAGCTCGTTTTTGAAAAACCACCGGAGGTTCCTATTATCCTCTCGGTAGCTCGGTTTCGTGGCGCTTTATAGCTCCGTGTATTATGGCAACATCGATTTGCAGCGGCCACAAATCAGCGGTTTCCCTCAGGAAACTAGTACCCTTCGTACCGAAGATTGAGAATTCGCTACCCGATTCGGGGAAATAACCATCGTTCGCGCACCGACTGCCATCTCGGATCACGCGGAAACAAAGAAACGCTTTGCTGGCAACTCTTTGAATATAACAACGGCCACATACGAACCGTAATAAACACCATAGCTTTAATGGTTTCATCGTAAACAACCTTTCCCTGTCGACCTGTTTAAGCTCGAAAAGTTTCAGTTCGGCACGGAAGATGGGAAGCGATTTGAAATCCATTTAATCCACGCTGTAGGCAAATTGCACGGAAGTCGAATGTTACGCTGTAAATAAGCTCGCGTTACGAGATAACATTACGGATCTAGAGTGCGTAATCTCTTATATTTGCCACCATTACTCGCCACGAATCGTCGCTTCAAAGCAACACCTTTGATCTGGGAAAATTGAAAATTTCACGCTGAATCGGTATATTTCCAAGTGTCTTATACCTTGGAGTCACGAAACGCGTACATTATTAACGTAATAAGGATCATCGTTTCGTTTAACCCCAATTTAAAATTTAATTAGCAGTAATTTTTTTATTCCTTATTTGCCTTCATTACATTTCCGAAATTTAATCATTAATTAATATAACGATTAAGATAAAAAAGGAACGTAATTAAATGATCGTCATTAAACGAATCGATCAGATCGGTTACGAAATAACGTGAAACCGAGCGCGCGTACTTAAGGAGGAGGTGGAGCGTGGCTTAACGAGTGGCAAATTAATTATTCATCATTAAAGGCTAACGGGCCGTAGTGGCGTCGCGTCAGCGACGCTATGCGCGAGAAAAACGAGACGCGAGACACCGCGTTGACGTTTACGAGTGCGCGGACAGCGCGTAAATATCTCCATGAAGTTGCGGGACGCCTTCTTCCTGTTACCACGTGTTTCGCGTTCCACGGCCTGGCTGGATCAAAGAACGCTCCTCTTAGTTCCCGCGAAACGGTACGGTATGCGTGAACACGCGCGTTCATCGTCCATCGTTGCGAAAAAGCGCGAAAACGCCGCGAGGATGGTAAGTGGGTAAAACCTGGCGACTGATTTACGAACC